TTTTTTTTGAATTTTTTCACCTTTTTTTTTAATTTAATATCGGTTTGAGTTTTTGTTTAGTAATCATTATAAAAAGTTTCGGATCGTAACAATATCATGCATCATACAACTTTGAATCATATTATTTTTGTATCATGAAAATTTGAATCATAAAATTTTTGATCATATTTTTTTTAATCATAAAATTTTAGATCACATCATTTTGAATAATAGTAATTTAGATCATATCATTTATGAATCATATGATTTTGGATTATAATATATTGAATTAAATAAAAAATTTCTTCAATAAAATATTTGAATCATTATATTTTTTTGAATCATTTAATTTTGAATCATTAAAGATATAATACTTAATGATCATAAATTATTTGAATCAAAATATATTTAGATTATAACAAATTAAGGATCATAAACATATTGAATCATAATATTTTAAATTATAAATACTTTGAATCATTTCATTTTATATCATATTATGTTCAAAAAAAAATTTAAATCTTTAAATATTTTAAAATTAAGTTTGATCTCTAAAACACCATATTTAAAAAAAAAATCTTTTTACAAAATCACTAGTATAGTGATTAGAAGTATTACTTAATTTTGTATAATTTTTGAGAAAAAATGTTTCTAGATTTTTTATTAATACTATAAATTATTGTTTTTTTCAAACTTCCATTACTATGCTCAATTTATAGATAATTAAAGTTTAAAACTTTGGTTATATATATATATATATATATATATATATATATATATATATATATATATATATCAAAAAAACAAGATGGACGGAAAAGTAAAATAAAACAGCTATTGAAATCTAGCCACGTGGCAGAGAGACAGAAGACAACAATTGAGGTGTGGGTCTACGGCTAAAGTCGCGTGATCTCCATCCGATTTTCATGCTTTGAAAATATTAGCCATTATTTTTTACCATTTTACAAAAATTCCGATTTCTTTAATAACAGTTACGAAAAATGTCATTATCATAATTAAAATAAAAGAAAACTGTTTGATTTTTATATCCTTTCAATTTTTCAGATTAAAGATGTAGATTTATACTCGCGGTTCATATCAATTTTTGGATTCTTAGACGATTCTTTTAATTATGATATATATATATATATATATATATATATATATATATATATATATATATATATATATATATATATATAATGAAAACCTTAAAAGTGTAAGAATATAAGAATTATTCAGTTAAAAAATAAAATTGGACATGTGTCTCAAAAAACAATAAAAAAACATATGAGACATCCTAAAAAAAATACACATGTGCACGATTCCAAAAGATGTTTATGTGCATATTGTCAAATAGAAATTGAATAGTGTAGTGAATATTGGCTGATAGAAAATTGAATAGTGTATGTACATATGACATATATTCATTTGAAAAATCTTAAATTTTTGAAAAAAAATTAAATTTTTAGAAGATTTTTTAACAGAAAAGTACTGATTATTTATTATTTTACCTAAGTTAACGAAAAAAATCATTTTTTATATTTGAATATTGAATAACAGATTATATGATTTTTCGAGAGTTTTTTATTCAAAAAAATATGACTTTTTTGAAATTTTCTTAAAAGTTTTGGATTTTTCTATAGATTTCTCATATTTTAATGAACTACATGTCCATTTTGATGATTTATGAAGTCATGAATTAAATAAATTATTTATTTATATGATTTAGAACCAACATGCGAGTGTTTCATTGTTATACACATTATTCTGGCTTGTTACTATGTATTATTGTATGTATTTATGTAACTATGGATGTGTGTGATTATATATTTTCTATACTTGTGTGGATATAAATAGGATATATTATAAATGTGACTCTACAAGTGATTGTAATGCCAAGAGACGAGTGGAGCGGAGTAGATCTGACCCAAATTCGATTATTCTGAAGTACACCGGCCACCATAACCACCCAATGCCGATGTTCATGAAGTATGCCGTCAAACCCATTTCCTCCAGGAACATTATTTTGGAACTCACTGAATCTTTAAAGAAGTCGAAGAAGAACGATGACGATATTTTTGAAGGACTTGGAAACTTTGTCAATTTGTGAAAGAGATAATCAAATAGACACTTGTTTTTTTTTTTTCGGCAACAAGGATAACAACCTTGTCATTTATATAGTAGTCAGATAAGGTTGCACTGCAACCACCACCATTCGTGGAGAAATTTTAAGCTTTTGTTATGGTTTTAATTTTGTAGTTTTTCTTTATATCAACTCAAGGTACACTTGACACAAACTTCTAGTAAAACAGATTCCATCATCGGCTTCATGCATATCTTTTTTTTTTTGTCAACTTATTTTCTATTAACTTTATTGTTATCGACTTAAACAATCATCAAACATTGACCTCTTTTAAAACTTTTTTTAATTAAAAAAGTTAACAACATTATTGTAAACATATATTAAAAAGTCATCTCATCTAACTTGTTATTTTTATGCATATTTAGTATTTATAAATAAAAAGTACTTAACAATAACATTATAATACATAAATTAAAATAAATACTACTAAAATATGAGTTGATATTTCTATTTTATATCGCCATAGAGCATTACATATATATAGCTATAAAAGCAATATAACAATATCATATTAATATTATGAATTTAATTTTTACTATTGAATATTAAAATAAAAAAACTAATTAAAATACAATGAAGCAATAAAAATTAAACATAAAAAGAAAAAAACTATCACATTGGAGATTAACAAAACAAATCATGATATATACTAGAAAACCATTTACTATTAAAAAGTGGTTTGTATAATTATTTTTTGAGCCGTAAGATTTATAACAAAAAACTGCATAGCAAGAAACTAGTTGGATGATGTGTTATCTATATACTAAAAAAATCAGTCTTTAAATTTATAGATCCTTATTCTATTGCGTCTTAATCAATACACACATGCAGCGGACCTAACAGAGTATAGTATAGTTGCAGTAAATAAGGGTGTCGAACACTCGAAGAACATGTATGACTAATATCCACTCAAATCGAACTCTCTATGGAATAGAGATAGATAAAACACATTTAGGAGCTTTATAAATCGACATGAAGTAAATTGTTCTAATTGTTAAAAAAATATTTTTTAGAGTTTGATCTTAATATTTGAACTCTCAAAAGTATATACTTAGATAATGTTGTTATATTTGTTGTAATATATATATATATATATATATATATATATATATATATATATATATATATATATATATATATATATATATATATATATATATATATATATATATATATATATATATATATATATACACACACACTAGAGAGGAGTAATGGCCGTGCTAAGCACGACCGCCCACGAAGATTTCTTTAAAAAATTTGATTCTTGTAACATGGTTGTTGTCGGTGATTCATGTCACAAACATACAATTTTCAAGATCAAATTCCTTCCCACACTACACTCGTTAAATCGAATTGTTGATAAATATGCAACTTGTCAATTGTTTCCTTTCACTTTGCCACCTGGAAGGAAAGGGCATTATGGTCCTTTTAGAGTTTAGTTCATTTTAGTATTTAAATATTTAAATTTTAAGTAACCACACTTGATAATTTACTTGCATCAACATCCTGCTAAAACTTGCTTTGGTAATTCTCCCAAGAAACGACCTCAGATCAATTAAACATGCTTTGTTAAACCAAAATCCACAACCTAAAAGTAAGCATATAGTCGATAAATGAAAACCATCTTCCACTCCTTGCACTCTCATTACTTACTTGCATCAAAATTCTAGATGTTTTTTAATAAAGTTTATTACTTGGGTTTTCATCGCTCCCTTTTCTTAAAAAAGTAGACCAAACACATCCCCAACTTGCATCTTGTGAAGAATAAAAACAATAGAATATATTTGAACATTATTCCTTTAAATTTGATATTTGTCATGAATTGAAGCATGGGTGGTTGATCTGATGTAGTAAATCCTATACAAAATCACCCACAAATCTTTTTAAAACGAACTACCTGGCAGGCATCGGAAATAAATGTAGTAAATTGGGCACCCATAACTATTGAGCCCGTCGTTGTAAATGGCCCTCTCAAATAGAATCTTAAATCAAGTTGGATCAGAGCATGTTATTTAATCTTCAACATTGTTATGTGGTATCAATTTCTTCAGGTCTTTCCCAAGAAGCATGATCTTTGTTTACAGAACCAACCTTCATTATAGACAAAATTTCAATCAAAACCATGGAAGATAGACAAAGATCGTGTACATGATGTAATGCATGTCTTTATACAGATTTACCTGAACATAAATGATGACTGAAGCATATCTTTCAGAAGATAATCAGTCGCCCAATGGATGGTTGTTTTTTGCATTTCCTAAATCTTTTTTGTGAACCCACCAGTTTCAAGCATACCCCGTGACAACATTGTGGTGGTGAATGCCATAGGAAACCTGCATGTGATACTACATAAGTAAATCAAACTAAAATAGTGTCCAGCATATATAAATAATCTACCATAAAGTGTTCTACGTCAAAGATAATTCTTAATAAGTCAGGAGTTGGCAGCAGCCTTGAATTTGTTTGTACTATTTTTAAACTAAACTCTGGCAAAATCAGAAATAGATCTTCAATCTCCTTTGGTTATGTATGAACTACCAAGATTTCTAGTTTTGTTTTTGGGCTTGCTGTTCAAGTAATATAACAGCAAACATATCAGGTAGTGTGTGTGTGTGTATATATATACTTGGTCCTAGTTTATTAGAAATTGTCCCTCATTTGACAGAGCTGAAAGACACTAATCATCCAAATTTGGGGTACTATTTCATTATAAGCCATACAATTACGAGATATTTTCAAAACTTACTAAATAATGAATCACCAGTTCTCTGGACTCTTTTGTTCTACAACATCTGTAAAGCCTTAGATATGACGATGTCAGCCTCATTTGACTCACACCTTGTGAATGATTGATCCTCTTGGGTCTATCCGTCTATATATTGTGCTCTCCCCTACATTTATTAACATATATCTAAAAAATTGTTTAGGTTCCATTGAAGCATTTCATCAAATATGTTAAGTGCATTGAATTCATTCTAATTTCTACCAATTAAATACAAGACTAATTATGATTCCTTCGGTTCCCTTTTTTATATAGATAACATCATAAAATAGCTTAATGAGTTGAAAGATTATCAACAATTTTGAGAAATTGGCTTACCTTGCATGGTCGACACCAGTGATAATGTGGAAGCTATTAATAAACATCGCAGTGGCTTTTACAATTGGGTATTGGACTGAAACCATGAAAATGGAACATACTAAAACAACATAAACCCTAATCACTAAAGAAAATACACATTTCTTATAATGTTCTGAAAAAAGAAAAGTTATGAGATGACAAGAATTAGAATATGAGAACAGATTACCATCCTCCACATATTTCTTTTGGTGATTGGAGGAAGTCATTGCACAAGCACCTTCATTCTTCAGACTCCGCATAATTCTTTTCAAGGCCAAAAATTTACGAAGGCAGGCTGAGGTGGAGGTGTAGTCTATCATAAGAGAAAGAGGAAGAGAATATATAGAGATGTACATTAGATTAATAAGCGGTTTCTTCTTCATCTTTCATACCCAATGAACCCGCTTCAAACCTCAACGATGAATCCTCTGTCTACTGAAAAAACAAATTCTGGTAGCATAAAAACAAAATCAATAATACAAAAAAAGAGCACGTTAATTACCTGAGAGCAGAAGAGGGAAACATAGAGGATTTTAATGGGCAACTCATGTATGCTGGTGCATCGGGAAAGAAGAAAATATGAGTGGAGAGCAGGTGTCTTCTCCTGAAACATGTAATCGTCAAGATGAAAAAGCCAATGACTTAGCTCAACCTTCATGGCAACCACAATAGTCCTTCCAACGGTTTTGTACATAGTTTCTCTTGACCTAATTAAAAAATCAAACAAAATGAAATTTAGAACTGATAGATATTAAATGAGAAATCCCAATATCATGAAATCCCATATCATCATTCATAAATTCTCCTTTAAATGAACTAGTTAAAGAGAAAAAGAAGAAATAAGCCCTAAACTAAAATAAAAAATTCAACGAGAAGGTTAGAAAAATCCCAATATCATGAAATCTCATATCATCATTCATAATTTATGTTATTCGATCTCAGTTTCCCCAACTTCAAATGGAATCATTTACCAACTATAGTTTTGTATTCCTTGAACCCTACATGCATAATTCAGTGAGTATTAAATCGATGTTTGGAAGAAGATGTGAAAGAGAATAAGGTTGAAGGAGGCAGGGTAGGGAGCTGCAAGAGAGAGAGAGAGAGAGGGGGGAAGCGTATTATTAAATATGAAGGGTTTATTGGGAAACGGGGGAATCGGTGGATCGTGGAGGAGAGCTTTTCCCAAGCATCTATGTAAGAAAGCCACATGTTAAGCTTCGTGGAAGACATGCAACTGCGGAAAGCTTTCAAGTAAGCGATTGAACTTCACGGAGCTCTTTTGACGCGCCAAAAAAAAGTCTTGCGTGCATTTCACGAAGCCTCTTACCAAAACAACGTTTTTGTATATAATAATGATATATATATATATATATATATATATATATATATATATATATATATATATATATATATATATATATATATATATATATATATATATATAGAGAGAGAGAGAGAGAGAGAGAGAGAGAGAGAGAGGAATGATCATTTGAGAACTCAGAGTTTGTCGAGAACCCGAGAACTAAAAGTGGAGCATTGGATCAAAAAAGGGATGATCAAGATGCATTGTGGTATTTTTGTAAATAAGTAGAAAAAATAAAGGGACGATTGTGATATCCCCAAAATCACGGCCAAAAAAGACCAGTTTCATTTATGCTTTAAAAATCATTTCAGAGTAAATCCCTTGATTTAAAAGAGTTGCGGAATTTGTTCCCAAAACAAAATATGATAAAATAAAGTTTATCAAAGCATTTCATCAAGAGATGCGTTTTCATTAATTAACAATATCTGGGATGTTATGTTCCGATACAGACCAAAAATCATAAACGACATATTACAAGCCATACAACAGTTATATACATATACAGGCTCATAAACAAAACAACTTGATAATTCATCCATCTTATGCACACGCGTCACTTCCTGTAATACAAATAAGACTGAGTGGGTTAGGCTTGGGAGCATGGTGAGCATATAGGGTTTTCAACCCACAATAAATAATTATATTTAATTTCATCAACCAACAATAACCCGATTACATATTCCCGTTATCCTCACTTTACGTCCCTAAAACAACATCTATTACCAGGGACCTAATCTAGGATTTTCATCGGGACGGACATTACTGCAAGGGGTTTCCTCATCAATAGATGTCCTAAAGGCAACCATGAGGGGGATAGAGTACATCGGTGAACACATCGTTCACAACACCTACAGGTTGTGAACGTGCTAGTGTTCCACTGGACAGTCTAGAAAGAGTCTGTAGTCGTCATCCATACTCCGCTGGATGACTAGGTCAACATCAACAACATCGCGGCCTCTCATCAGTTTATCACACATCAACTATCTACCCAAGTTCTATCCAACATTTTGTAGATAACAATATAAATATGCATACATATGCAACTTAAAAACTGATAAGACATTCATTTAATACTCATTCCAAATATACAAATTCATTCCAAGTAATAGATAATATATATCTATAGGCACATATCACGTATTCACTCGGAGATACTTTATATCTATGTGTTATAAGAAAAGGAATATACACTCAGTTGATCAGAAGATGATCAGACAGCACTACGGCTTGCAGAAATAGTATTCTTCGATAGATCTGGAAGATCTTCACACACCGGGCTTCTCGCAGGCAGAGCTTCGGCTCGGAAACTCTTTTCTTCTCGGGATCTTCGGGCTTCGCGACTCACTTCGGGTCTCGGGATGATACTGGGGCTTCGGGGGTACTTCTTTGCACGTAAATCAAGCTAAAACGGGAGAGATAGGAGAGAAAATAGCAACCCTAAACGGCTGGCCCTTCAAATTTATTTATAGGGCAAAATTTGCCCTTGCCACGTCGTGGCACTGCTTTCCACGTCGTGGTATCTGACAGTTTTGGGGTTTCGTGCCCCGAACTTCAGAAATTCATAACTTTCTAATACGAACTTCGTTTTCGACGTTCTTTATATCGACACGTAGGTGAGACTATGACCTACAGCTCTCGTTTAGACTCCATTGGCTAATTTTGATTTTATTTTTAATATATTATAAATATATTACTTATATGTTATTTTTAGTAGGCCGGGACAGGAAAACTCCGTTATAAATTCATAACTTCTTCATCTGACGTCCGTTTTCGCCTATCTTTTTATCGTTTCACTACTATTAACGAGATCTTTTATTCTCGTTTAGATTGTTTCGGCTAAAAACCGCTCGATCTCAAATCGAGTATTCAGGTTGCATACTGCTAAGTCGAAACTTCAGAAAATCATAACTTCCTCATACGAAGTCAGATTTGGGCGTTCTTTTTATGCACGCTCTCGGTTTAACGAACTCTTTAACTTTCATTTAGATTACTAAGGCTAGATATCGTTCTATCTTAAATTCGTATTTTACGTTATTCGACGTCGTGTCGGTTCTGTCGCGAAACTTCGACTGATCATAATTTCTTCGTTATAACTCGGATTTCGGCATTCTTTATATATTCGGAAACCTCGTTTCAACTACTACAAAGATATCAGCTTTATCTACTATTTTATTTTGACGGTTATTTTTTATTCTTAATTCATTTAAGCCACACAACTAAGCACAAAACATATAATACTCAAAAAATACATTCTTATTATTTCAAATTGGGTTACAAAGGTTAACATAGACTAATACATTGCTATGAATGACAAGTCCAGAAACACAGGCGTTACAATTCTCTCCACCTTAGAATGATTCTGTCCCCGGAATCACACATCAACAAACAACTGTGGGTAGCGACCCATCATGTCACTCTCTGTTTCCCAGGTGAGATTCGGCCCATTTGTGTGTTTCTATCGGACAAGCACTAACTCGAGCATCTTGCGTCGCAACTTCTTAGTCTTTCGGTCAACGATTGCTTTAGGTTCTTTAATCAACCTTTTGTTCTCATCAGTTCTTAACTCAGAAATTGGAATTATGTCGGAAACTTCTCCCGTGAACTTCCTCAAATAACACACATGGAAAATGTTATGAATTCCATTCAGTTCTTCTGGTAGTTCGAGCTTGTAAGCTTGGTTCCCAACCCTTTGAAAAACTTTAAACGGTCCAATAAACCTTGGACTTAATTTTTCCCTTTTACAGAATCTTATAAGTCCCTTCCATGGCGAGACTTTAAGCAAAACCGAATCTCCAACTTCAAAAGTCATCGGTCTTCGCTTTTTGTCAGCATAGCTCTTTTGATGATCCTGAGCGGCTAACATTTTTTCCCTAATTATTTTCAACTTTTCAGTGGTTTGATGAACCATTTCGGGTCCTATAAACTGCTTTTCCCCAGCCTCAAGCCAACAAGACGGTGTACGACACTTCTATCCGTACAAAGCTTAATAAGGTGCCATCTTTATGCTCGAGTGAAAACTATTATTGTAGGAAAATCTACCAAAGGTAAATGTTCATCCCAACTACCTAGGAATTCCAGGGTACATGCTCTCAGCATATCTTCAAGTGTTTGTATCGTTCTTTCGCTCTGACCATCAGTGTGCAGATGGTAAGCTGTACTTAAACACAACTTGGTACCCATTTCCTCTTGTAGACTTTTCCAAAACCTCAAGGTGAAACGGCTATCACGATCCGATACAATCGTTAATGGAACACTGTGAAGCCTCACAACTTCCTTCACGTAAGAATTCGCAAGCTTTTCCATAGACCATTTCTCATTAGCTACTATGAAATGCGCACTCTTAGTGAATCGATCAATGACCACCAAAATCATGTTGTGACCACTTTTTGTTCTAGGCAGTTTAGTGACAAAATCCATAGCAATGTCTTCCCACTTACCCATAGGCACAAGATAAGGTTCTAAACTCCCATACGGTTTTTGATGTTGTGTCTTGACTCTAGCACAAGTCACACACTCGGCCACATACTTTGCAACATCAAGCTTCATAGTCGGCCACTAGTAATAGGGTTTTAGGTCCCTATACATTTTTGTGCTACCAGGATGAATCGAGTACATGGTCTTGTGAGCTTCTTTCAACAGAAGTTCTCTGACTCCTGTCTTAGTGTAACATCCCAAAAACACAGTCTGAAAATTTCGTTTTAAATCAGTAATAAAACCATATTCATCAATGTCATATAAGAATCATAAACAATGTATGTCAAAATATCATAACAACTGTCAAACATATTAGAGTATAAATATCCCAGGCTGAACAAATGGTGTGTGCACTGCAATCTTCCCGAGCTCCTCTTTTGAAAACTGAGTACCTGAAACCAAAACTGAAATTGTAAGCACGAAGCTTAGTGAGCTCCCCCAAACTACCACATACTATACAATAACATATAAACACATATTGGGCCTTGCCCACTGCATCGGACCGAAGTCCGAAACTGACTGGGACCCCGTCCCCTGCATCGGACCGAAGTCCGGAACTGACTGCATCGGACCCGAAGTCCGGAACTGACTGCATCGGACCGAAGTCCGGAACTGACTGGGACCCCTTCCCCTGCATTGGACCGAAGTCCAAAACTGACTGAACATAGCATATCATAAACATATCAACTAGCATGAATACATATAGTGCATACTGCATCAGAACAGAGTCCGGAACACATAACACAAAACATGCTTGAATCACAAAGACATCAAGCACCCTAACTACTACATCGGACCGAAGTCCGGAACTAACTAAACATAGCATAACATATACTGCATACTGCATCGGACCATAGTCCGGAACACATAACTCATATGTATCACAAAGACACCAAGCATAATGAACTACTACATCGGACTGGAGTTCGGAACTACTGCTAATTAAACGGGACAGCATTGTGGTCTTAGACCCGTTCCTACTGGAAGGAAACTCACCTCACACTGCTGAAGTCCCATAGAAACAATCCCACACTGATGAAGTCCCGCAGACTCAACCCCAGCTGCTGGATGACAGATTCCCGAACTGTCAACACCAAAATAACACCCAATTAATAATTGGGTTCTAACACATAACTATAAATACATGCTTTGGATAATTACTACATTACCCCTAGCTTGGCTTACCGAAGCCCAAGGCCCAATCCATAGGCCCAAGGTCAACTAGGGATCAAAGCCCAACATATGGCCTAATTTTCCAAATTGGGCCCAAACCTCTACATGGACTCCCCTTAAGGCCCAATTGTCCAGTCTAGTCCAACATGTCTCATTCTAGGGGCCCAACATCATACAACCATCTATGCCCCAACTATGGCCTAATTTTCCAAATTAGGCCCAATCCTTCATATGGGCCTTACCCTAAAGCCCAACTAATTACTCTAGTCCATTTAATTATTCTTGGATGGCCCAACACAAAGCCCAAGTGAAATTAGGGTTTCACATAAAATGACAATTAGGGTTAAGTGTTTCTCACTTAACCCATTAAGGGCTTATCCCACTAAGTACTTAATCCGTTAAGGACTTAATCCAATAAGTCCATTATTGCTTAGATTAATTTCTGCTGATGATTGTTATTTAATATTTCACTTATTAATTAAGTCTTGTTTGCATCCTAAAAAATTCTCAAATATTAGGATATTCTCAATTAGTCCATTAAGGACTTGATCCATTAAATTCATTTACTCTACTATATAAATGGCATGGAATAATTTGGGCTTAATTCACAATCTAATCGAAATGGCCTAAAAGTAGGTCCAAATAAGTCCATGGCCCAAATACTCATAATTAAGGTTTTACACCCAAACATGGCCCAATAGGCCCAAAACCAATATCTAAGCCCATTAGGGTTTGCTAGCAGGGCACCACCCACTACCACCTAGGGTAGTGGTGGTCGATGGCGGCTCGCGGTAGTGGTTACTATTATTTTTATTATTCATGCTAATTACAATTACAAGGTTTTTATCCAAAAATAAACACACACACACACACACTAACACACACTAACTAACACACACACACATACTAAACAGCATAAACACATACACAGCCACCTTGTGGTCGCCGGTGGTGGGAGATGGTGGCAGCCACCACCTCAAGGCGGTGGTTGTGGCTATTCTTCGAGAATTCTGGCTAAACAACACCCAAACACCACTTAACTGCAATAAACACACCCACACATACGTTTTCTGTTGCAAACGAAATCCAGCCACCTACTTGGTGGCATACAATGGTGATGGTGACACGAGGAGGCGGCAGCAGCAGCACCAACGTCCGTAGTGGCGGCGTTTCTTCTTTGTTGGATGTTAGGCAGTAGCGGCGCTGTCGTGATGGCTAGAATATGGCGTTCGGAGGAGCCCACGACTTGCGAGTAGCAAGAAACAGCGATGGCAGCTCCGTCTTCAACCTCCGACTTCCGTAACGGACACAACACCCACACTATAACCACATAGTCGGTTGAAGAAGTACAGAAGTGGTGGTGCCCCTCCGGTCGCGAAGTGGCGGCAACAGCAGCGGCAGGGTTCACAGAAGCAACACCCGACACAGTGGCGGGTTATTCCGACTCCAATGGCAGCTAGGCGGCTGATGAATTCACTAACAATTGGCAGCAGGCGACGTCTAACATAAGAGGAGAAGAAGAATTGGCAGCAGCGAGATCGACTATAGATGTGAGTTGATTGGAGCTTCCACCGGTTGGAGAACGAGAGGAAGTTCGGTGATGGCGGCTGAAAGGTTCTACCCGGCGGCTGAGACTGGGTTTAGGGTTTTGAGTGATTTAAGATGTATATATACATGGATTAAGGGAGGGTGACGGGAGTTGTCCCGTGTCCATGCTCCAACTTTTCCCATTTAACCATTCTACTCCCTCCCTATGATATTTTTTCAAAATAAAACACATACTTACCTTTTTAACCATATCTTCTGAAATTCTTTACAATTAAAGTCTGAAATTTACCAATCAACCCCTAGTCTACAAAAATCTCTTTCATAATAGATTCCTAAATTACTAATAAGCCCTTAAGCCTTCAATCTTTTCAATTTAAGTCCTGAACATACACTTTTAACCATCGACTTTTAATATTCTTCACAAATCATTCCGGGACTTACATTTATTAATTTATTTAAATAAACGGGGCGTTACACTTAGGTATCCAAATCCGATCTTGGAACACCTTCAGTCCATGACTATTTATACTGAACACCAATGTTTTGCCCAAACGTTCTTCCTTTCGGCCATTCTTCTCAGAAGCTTCCTCTTGATCTTTCTTTATACTCTCCACAATTGTCGAGACAACTTCTATTCTCAACGCTCTTGGCCTTTTTCTTTCAAGATTGACTTTCCGACTGATAGCATCAGCTACAACATTTGCTTTAGCGGGATGGTAAAGTATCTCACAGTCGTAGTCTTTAAGTAATTCTAGCCAGCGTCGTTATCTCATATTCAATTCTTTCTGACTAAAGAGATATTGGAGATTCTTATGATCAGTGAAAAGTTTGCACTTCGTGCCATAGAGGTAATGCCTCCATATTTTTAGAGCGAAAACTACCGCTGCCAACTCCAAATCATGAGTCGGGTAGTTCTTTTCATGCTCTTTCAGTTGTCGAGATGCAGACGCAAACACCTTATCTCTTTGGGTCAAAACACAACCCAGTCCAACCTCAGACACATTGCTATAAACAGCGAAGTCTTCAACTCCATCGGGTAGAGAAAGTATCGGTGTCTCGCATAGCTTTTTCTTTAGCTTCTCGAATGCTTCTTTATGCTTATCACTCCAAGCATAAGTAGCTCCTTTGTGTGTCAAAGCTGTTAATGGACTAGCGATCGAAGAAAAGCCTTGGATAAACCTTCGGTAATATCCAGCTACTCCCAAAAAGCTTCGGATTATCGTGGGACTTTTTGGTTGTTCCCACTTCATCATAGCTTCAATCTTTGTTGGATCAACCATTATCCCTTCTTGGTTAACTACGTGACCCAAGAATTGGACTTCTCGAATCCAAAAATCACATTTGGAGAACTTTGCATATAACTACTCCTTCTTCAATACTTCTAACACTTCTCGCAAGTATCTGCCATGCCCCTCTCAACTTTTTGAGTAAATCAGAATGTTATCTATGAACACTATCACAGATTTATCAAGGGACAGATTACAAACCCTGTTCATTAAATCCATGAATACTGTTGGAGCATTGGTTAGTCCAAACGACATAACCAAAAACTCGTAGTGTCAATATCGTGTTATGAATGCAGTCTTCTTTATATCATGCTCTCTTACTTTCCAGCTGATGATATCCTAACCTAAGATCAATCTTCGAGAAATAGCTCGAACCTTGAAGTTGATCGAACAGGTCATCAATCCTCGACAACGGATATCTATGCTTTATCGTTGCTTTATTCAGCTCTCTGTAATCAATACACATTCTCATACTTCCGTCCTTTTTCTTTACAAATAGCACCGGAGCTCCCCAAGGTGATGAACTAGGTCTAACGAAATCTTTGTCCAATAACTCCTGAAGTTGCATCATCATCTCCTTCATCTCCGTCGGTGCTAATCCGTAAGGTGCTTTTGCTATTGGCGTCGTCCCTGGTAACAAGTCTATTCTAAACTCCACTTGTCTATCACGTGGTAATCCGGGAAGATCTTTGGGAAATACTTCCGGATAATCACACACGATAGGAATGCTCTGCATCGCCTTTTTCTCCTTCTTAGCATTTATCACAAATGCCAAATATGATGTACATCCTTTGGCCAAACAATTTCTGCCTTTCATTAGAGAAATGATTCCAGAGCTCACTCTGCGTTTGTCCCCATACACCATAAATGACTCTTTCCCTGGCGGGTTTACTTTCACTATCTTCTTTCTGAACAAATCTTGGCATCATTGGCACTAAGCCAATCCATTCCCAAAACGATGTCGAAACCATTAAGTTCAATAGGCAATAATTCCTCGTGGAACTTATTCTCATTCAAATCAATTAAGATGTTTTTCATGAAATAGCTAACAGGTACAAACTTGCCACTAGCAACTTCGACTAATAAAGCATTATCTAGTCTATCAACAGGCAATGCTAGTTTTCTACCAAATTCATGCGAAATAAAGGAGTAGTTGGCTCCAGAATCAAATAAAATTTGGGCAGGCAATTCGTTTACAAGAAAGGTACCTGAAGCGACATCGGCTTCATCTTTAGCAGCTTCCAGTGTCATCTGGAATGCTCTTGCCTTCGGCTTTGGCAGAATGTTGGGTTTTGTTGCCTCCTTCTTCTTTGGACAATCCCTCGAGATGTGCCCCTTCTCACCGCAACCATAGCAAACTTTCTTGGTAAGTGTGCATTTGTTGGCATAATGCCATGGCTTTCCATATTTAAAACATGTGGCCACCACTTTACACTTCCAATGATGTTTCTTCTTACATTTGTCACACCATTTTGCTTCGCCTCCTCCACCTCCTCTCGAACTAGACTTCGAGAATTTATCCTTTTTGTTGGACCCTGAGGGTCCATTGATTTTCCTCTTTTCACCAACCTCTGACCTCTCCAGACCTTTCTCCCTGATCTGGGTCTCAACATTTCTAACAGCCCAAATGGCAGCTTTCAATGTGGTTGCTTGCTTAACCATTGGACCATAGTCCGCTGGTAGTCCGAGGGCAAACTTGTTGACTTTAGAGAGTTCTATTGGTACTAAATATGGGATAAGCTTCATCTTTTCTATGAAACTAGCAGCGTATTCAGTAACGCTCAATTTCCCTTTCTTCAAATTATGAAACTCATTGTTGATTTCCAGAAGGTCCTGCTCGGAGCAGTATTGCAGTTTCAGTTGTTCCACAAAGTCTTCCCAAGACATTTTTCTCGCTTCTCTTTTGGGCATAGAGTTAGCTAACAGCTTCCACCAACTCAACACACCAAATTTTAGCAGAGGGATCGCAAGAGCGGTCTTCTGCCTGTTGCTGCATTCACAACTTTCAAACATTGTCTCCATTTCAGAGATCCGGTCCATAACTTGCACAGGCGTCGGGCTTCCGGATAGACATGGTGGTTTGGATGCCATGAAATCCTCGTACTTACACCCACGCCCATCATTTCCTTCATCCTGGTTATTCTTCCTAACAATTGGTGGGTCATCATGACCAATGATCCCACTAAAGTTTCCTCCTTCAGACTGCCCTCCTTTTACTTCGAGCTCTTCGACGTGAATTAACAGTTCTTCGTGATTCTGCCTAAGCAAACGTCTAATTTCCTCCATCTGACGATCCATCATCGTCTGAATCATCAATTGCACTCCGTCCATTGTTATTGGCTCAGGTGCTACTGCTGCAATAGCTACTTGCTTTGTTACAGGTATTTGATTCCTGTTTTCGTTCACGTTTCCAACTCCACTCCTTGTTCTCAGCATTTTTATCTATACAGCGAATAAGGTGAAATTAGATCCTCATTCACAATAGATATTCAAATCATCCTTATCACTCTGAAATGTTTACATGCTAGTTCTAATACCATAGACATGCGATTCGAATCCTAAACACATAAGGTTTCCAGATCCGGTCGGCAACAGACCATAGATCCAAACAAATAATATCATAAGTGGCAACTGTTGGGCTGAAGATTATTTTGAAGATTGCGTCTTTTGGGCTCGATAGTATAAGTTACTTTGCATTCCGGTTTGGTCCTGTCCAACCGAGAACCTTTTATGTTTTGTATATAAGTTTACGCTTGCATGCTTATTAGGTTAACGATTTTAGAGATTAACGACATAGCGTTTCATCTAGAGTATAACAGGTTTCTTTAATCGTTCTTGTAACCTACCAATCCTCTACAGTTGATGTTCTTAATCGAGCTCTTCTGAGGATTTTGTTTAATCATTCGACACGTTTGATTCCATCTTGACTTGTTCTTATTATTGCGTTCATACAGTTTTATATTTACATACTTGTTCAAGATCTAATCGATCTTTGTAGATTAAAGGTTGGTTTAATCGCATCAATTGGTATCAGAGCAGGAGGCTGTGTAATTGATACACATCTTTTCTGTGAAAAAGATTTCCATTAGGGTTTTTCCGCAATTATCAATATTTATTGAGCCGTCATCTCTTTATTGACGTATCTTGATATTTATTGTTTTGCCCTAATCTGCTTTATTACAAGTCTGATCTTTGAACAGGTTTTTACGATCATAATGGACGCGACGCAATCAAACCCTATTAATATTTCCAACAGCATCGGTTCGACGACAAAGATTCCAATCTTATACACCCATGACTATGAAGTATGGGCGCATCACTTTGAAGACTACGTGATTGGATCGGAGGATAATGGGTACCTCATATGGGAAGCCATCATCAATGGACCGTTTTCTCATTCTGCAACGTCCAGAATTATTAAGACTCAAAAGGAGTACAATGATCTGCTAAAGGACGTGAAGGATATTGCACAAGATGAAAAGGACAAATTCCAGTGCAATATTAAGGCGTTAAGGTTGATCAGATTCGCCCTTCAGTCCGACACATTCAGGTTGGTCAACTCATGCACGACGGCAAAGGAAGTTTGGGATAGACTTCGTGAACTGTATTCTACAGACGAGGATCTTGAACATTCTATTCAAACTTTGCTTTTATCTGAGTTTGGAGAATTCAGGCAAGGGGCCGAAGAAACGGTGACCCAGACGTTTGATCGCTTCAATCATCTTCTCAGCAAGATGATCAAACATGATATTGAAAGGAAGCTTATCGAACAGAAGGTTACTTTCTTGAATGGACTGAGGTCTGAATGGAGAGCAGTGGTTTCCACAGTCAAAGCCCATGAGCAGTTTAAATCATACTCTTTGGCGAAACTGGTGGGTATTCTCAAGTCCCAAGAGAAGATTGTGTTGCAAGAAAAGAACATCGTTTCTAGTCTTGGTTCGTTGGCCCTCCTATCTAAAAGTAA